TGGGGTCTCTCAAATTATTTGCCTGGGATGGCTTCAACCCTTAATACTCCTGATCTCTGCCTCCTGAGTGGCTAAGATTACAGGCGTGAGCCACCAGTGCACAGCTGTTGACTACTTTCCTTAGAGCAGGTTTCAGTGTTTTGTGTGTTGTGGATTCCTCTGGCTGTCTAGAGAATTCTACCGTATCCTTCTCAAAAAAATTTGTTAGTGCATAAACTATGATAGTTACAAAGAGAACCAATTATATTGAAAGACAAAACATTAAGACAAATGTGTGATACAGCACTCTATGTGCCTCTTTATTAATGGATTAAATAACAGGATGTAGTGGCAAATCTAAAACCTCCATCATCTCAAAGTCGTGATGAGTGCAAATAGTAATTCAAGACACCCACGACAACTGTAATATGATATGAAGTAGTAATATCCGTGAGTTCTAATGTAGCAGGCCCTGCTAGTTTTATGGTATTTACTGCTCCCATTCATAATCAAAATAAATGCTCACTTTCAGTTATTGAAAATATGGAAGTCAGTTTTTCCATCCAAGTTCATGAGCCCCAGGTAAAGGGCCCCTGCTTTATAACATATTTAGCACCCCTTTGTCCTTAGTGGTGTCTCCAAAGTCATAGATTAGGAGGTAACAGGAACAATCCCTTCACATCCCACTACCTGGTCTCTAACTGGACAAAATATTAGGAAGGTGATATAGAAAGTCCTATAAGAGGGGGAGACAGACTGACAAACTACTGCCAGCTAAACTTACTGAGCACAGTGTGTTTTACCTATATTAACACATCAATGATCCCCTCAATTCTTTGAGATGGGTACTATTACTATCCCTGTTTTACAGAGGAGGAAACTGAGACACGGGGAGGTTAGGTAACAGGCCCATGATCACACAGTTAGCAAATGAGAAAGACAGGACTTGGACCTGGGTAATCTGAATCCATAGTCTGTACTCCTGGTTATCACGTCATGCTGCCTCTCTGCTCAGGGTGCCGGAAGTGAAATCAAGCTAAAATCTTCAGGATGTGTTGGAGTTGGTCAGAGAGTAGAAAGAGAAGGAGGCTGGAGAAGGAGAGGTAGGAAAGGGATTGGGGGAATTTTTTAAACAAAGAGAATAAGAGACACAAAGGTCTTGAGGTAGAAAGAGTGGATAGTCTAATTTGGAAGCAATTGAAGTGGTCCAAGCTAAGGGTGCTGATGGGTTGAACTAGGTGTTGGCCAGGGCTACATAAAGAAGTAGAGAGAACCTGGAAAGATTTGGGGAAAAGAATCTGGGCAAGAATCTGGGTGTAGGAATGAGGGGTGGTTCCCCTGCAGCAGATTGAATTTCCCAAAGATGGCCACAACTGGATCTCCGTTCCCACACGCTTTTTTAGAGAGACCTTGACACTCCTTCCATTCAGAAATAGTCTCTGTCTTTTCCCTTGAGTCTGGCCAGGCTTGTGTGATTCCTATGGCTCTGTTCTAGAAGGCAGGGCTGCTTCTACCAGCTTCTTTAGCCACGCTCTCCTGTCTTGGATTCCTGAGCTTCCAGTAAGCAACAAGACTGCCACGAAGCCCAAATGAGGCATGCAGAGAGACCACATGCAGAAACCTAACCAGCCTCCTGCTGCTCCTGCCCTATGCAGTCCATGAGGCGAGTCTAACTCAAGCTAGAACTGCCCATCCAAGCCCTTCCTGAAATCCTGATTCCCAGAAACTGTGAACGAAAATAAAATGGTGGCTCTACACCACTAAATTTGGAATCTGGAACACTCTTCCTTCAGATTCAGTCTCTACGGCCTCGGCCAGTTTAGCTAGTCATGACTTTCACAAGAGACATTTAACATTCTCAGCTCGGGTCCCTTGTGAAGGACCCCGAAAATTGGTGACAAGTGGCAAATAGCATTTTTGGTATGTTACCTCTGCAATTTTAATTACCCAGCCCAGTGGTTTGCAAAACTGAGCTGAGAGAGCATTTTTTCTTGGGGGGGCGGTGAGGGGAACACAATGGATTCTTGCCGGATGTTGTGGTACACATCTGTAATCCCACACTTAGAAGGAAAGGCTAGCCTGGGCTACATAGCAAGACCCTATCTCAAAAATACAAAGCTAAACAGCAACAAAAAGTACAGATCTCTAGTTCTGTCCTGGACTCACTGAATCAGAACCCTCAGAAACAATTAACTACTGACTTGCCAACCTTTCTCTCTAATGTTATCCTGTACCTTTTTGTATGATTATTACACTTATATTCTATTTAGGTAGCCCAACACTTAGAGACAAACTAGGAGATAGATCTTTTGAGAATTTCAAATGAATGGGGGATGGGGAGGCATTAATCAGATTGACCTGGTCATCATAAATATTTGTTAAAGATAATTCTTGGGCTGGGCACGTGGCTCAAGTGGTAGAGCGCCTATCTAAAAAGCACAAGGCCCTGAGTTCAAACCTTAGTACCACCAGAAAGAAAGAAAAAAGATAATTCTCTTTAAGTGTTTTCACAAGTAATTTCACAAGGCTTTAGAAATAGAAAGGCTAAATATGTCCCGTCAAATGTAATAATAATCCAAACTGTGAATTGCCTCAAAGACACAAAGATTGTATGGCATTCAAATTTGAAAAGAAGAAAAGATGGAGATATTATGGATATAGTGGTTAGCCCTTGTCTAAGCAGAGTGTTGTATGATAATGAAGCGATATAACAATGGTTTGGGAGATGTTACTTGGTATTGAGAGAGCTTACAGAGAATCTAAGTACACCTACCCATGACATCATACATTGAAATCAATTTTAATTAAAGACTTAATTTCTAAAGGAGGGAATAAGTCCTGCTAAAACTTGAAAAGGAAAAAAAATATATTCATTGCTTTCCTGCAGAGAAGGAAGTCCAAAGTCAAATGTGGGTCTGAAGGTTTGTGTCCCTTCTAGGGGTCTCTAGGGAGCTTTTGTTTTCTTGTCTTTTTCAGCTTCTAGAGGCTGCCTGCTTTCTATGGCTTGACATCCCATTCCCATCTTCAAAGTTATGAAGTTCCTCCTCTTCCTCCTCCTCATCCTCCTCCTTCTTTACTCTCTCTCTCTCCCTGCTTCCCTCACTTTCTCTTCTTCCCTCTACCCCTTCCTCCCCTTGTACCGTATCTCCTTCCCTGACTCTGAGCCTCCTACCTCCCTCTTATAAAGACCCTTGTAATTACATTGGGTCCACTTGGATAATCTAGGGATATCTTCCCATATCAAGATCTATGTTATCTGCAAATTCCTGGTTACAATTTACAATGTAAGGTGACATACTGACAAGTTCTGTTATAACAGATGGGTGTCTTCAGAAGGCCCTGGTCCAGAAGATGTCAGGCTCTTGCGTCTCTCAAAGACAGAACTGAACAGAGTAGCAGATTGCAATGCCATAGTAGAGTTTTATTGAAAGGAAAAGGAAAGTATAGGCACTGCTAAAGAAAGGAAAAGGAAAGTATAGGCCATGTGGGACATTCCCTTTTACTGGACATGCGCCATTTTCCAGTCTGAACTGGCCAAGAGGCTCCCTTGTCTTTTGGGACACTTATGGTGCGAAGGAATTTACAGCTCATGGGATGTCCCAGGATGGTACTGGGTGGGAAGAAGGAATTCAGCATGTAGTGATCTTTTGGTGAAGAGGATGGCGTTCCATGGTGGATTACTTTCCCTGTCAGTAGCCTGCCTCAGTTCCACAATTTAGAAAAATGGACATCTTTGGAGGTCATTATTCTTATCACCACAATTGTATAGAACTATACTGACCTAGGTGGACATGACCAAGGGCTAGGCTCCTAACCAGATGTCTCTGCAAAAGGGTCGGGCTTGCTAAATGGCTTGGGCTGGGGAGGGGAGGGTGATCATTCAATAGTTTATTGAGTCATCCCTTTCAACACACAACAGAGACTGCCAGGGAGATAGTCCCATTCTGATCCACTTTTTTTGTTTTTCCGAATCTTCCATCAAAGGGCTATTAGCTCTGTTGGGGCTAGCCAAGAACCTTGTATCATCACAATAAGGTCCCCTCCACCCCACTCCAGTGTCCTGGGGGACCAGGACTTAGTGATCAGTTTCCAGTGAACAGACTAGTCCATGAAAACCCAAGAACCTCTGCTTTCTAGGAATGGTCTAAAAAAATAGCCCAAACAAATCTGTAGAAAATTTATAAACTATGATGTCATAAAATGAACCATTTTTACTTAATCTACACTATTCATAAGAAGAAAAACTTTACCCTGTGGGGTCTGAGGAGTTTCCTGACCTGATTCATACAGCGACTGGTGTGATTAATGGAGTGTATTTAGGGCTGTGTGAGCAAATTCCATTCCCTGTGACAAATACACTCGAGATTAAATGAAGAATTCATCGTTTCACATGCTTCACGGTTGACAAGCTACATTCTGGGAAATTTGTTTTTTTGACACTGAATGGCTGTTCCAGGAAGAAATAAATAACTCTAGAAGAAATTGTGACTGTATCTCTAGAAGCCTTTTGCCTCTTGTCAGTGAAACTAACAGGGTACACAACCTATTAAAATGTAAATTTTAAATACAGCTTTTTCTCTGCCTCTCTGCTCTCTTTGCTCCCTGCTATCCCGCAGTTGCAAGACTATGTACATACATTATTCTCCAGTACACACGTGTACAGGTGCTTGGATTTGAGGGGTTGTTTGTAGTTTTACGTGACTAAACCAAAGTATTTGGGGATGTGAATGTTCTATTTCCACATTTAACGAGGAGGGAACGCGCTCCGGAAACAGAAGAAGGCTGTACTGAAGTCCTTTGAGGCGCAGGCTTGGGGCCCACAGTCAAACCCGGACGCCGTCACTAGGCAACCCCTTGCGTTCTCAACCGCCGCCACAGAGCCACTCCCTCCTCCTGCGTAGCCAAGGAGATCGACGCCCCGACTCAGTCCTGCCGTAAACCCGCGCGCTCTTGCGACACCGCCGCGCCAGCCGCTGCGTGCGCGCCCTCTGCCCCCACCTCCACTCTCCGCCCCGGCCGCCATTGCCTCGTGCCCGCGCCGGTCGGTTGGTGGCGCCTTTGTCCTACGGCGGGCAGGTGGGCTGAGGCGCAAGCGACAGCGGCGGGCCTGAGGCGAAGGAGCGGAAGGGAGCCCGCCGCGCTGGTAGCGGTGAGTGCCGGGAAGCGGTGGCGGTCCGCCGAGGTGTAGGACTGACGGGCAGGCAGTTAAGGGGAGGATGAAGCGGGAGGGCCGTTCGACGCGCGGCCGCGGCCTCTCTCCTTCCCGGGTGCGCGCGGGGCTGCGCATGCCCGGTGCGGGGCGCGGCCGCCTCCGGCTCCCATCAGGCCCAGGCCCAGACCAGCGCGGGCGGCCGGCATTGGGCTGAGGTCGGCGGCACGGCTCCCGCGGCCGCCGGTCCGTGCGTGAACGGTCGGTGCGAGCCCCCGAGGCTTCTCCGTTAGGGCAGGGCCACACACCCTGCGTCCCTTTTCGGATCGGTGAGGTCGCTGTCCTGCGGGACCTCTGCGAGGCGGTGGCGCAGTCGGGATTCGAACCCTGGCCGTCTCGGCGGCGTTCTCGGGGCGGGCGGAGCTCTGTACCCTGGCGTCGCCCCCTGACCGCATCCTCTAGGCGCCTCCTTGTGTGACACCCCGCCCATTTGATAGCCGCGGACCCCGGGTGCTGAGAACCGGTGGGAAAACCTGTGTCGGAACCTGCCGGCTTTCCAGGGTCCGGACGCGCGCGGGGCACTTTCCGCTCCTCGGTAACGGGCCGGGGCTTTTTCTAGCACGGCGTTTCCCCAATGTTAGTTCCTCGCGTTCACCTTGATGTCCGTGTACCATCTATACTCTTTACCACGTGTTGTTTATTTATTTACTTACTTTAAACTGACTTTTTTTTTTCTCTTTCTTAAATACATTTGTCGAAGGCGGAAACTTCAATCACAAACCATACAATGGAAAGCCAGTTATTTTTCTGATGCTCATAAAAAAAATAAATAAATACCTATCTATTAAAGTAAACAGTGCGTCCTTGTTCCTCCTGAAGTTATTCTGCGTTCCACACTTTGGGAAACGCTGCCCTAGGAATACGGGGTTAATTGTCTTTCTGGCTTTCTGTGCACAGAATTTTTTCTCTGCGGCATAGCAAATCCCATGAAATGCCCCGGGATCTTCCGGCATGATAATTAATATCATAAGCTTTCTCGTTGTAAGCTGTTGTCGTTATTGACTTAGAATTGTTAGTCCCAGGGAACGGGAAGAACTGCCCACTCAAATGCACCCGGTGTGCCTCCTCTGTTTTCTTACAGCGTGGTGATGTCGTAGCCACCTGACAGCTCATTAAAAGATAGCTCTGCAAACGCTGATGGAGCTTTTTTGGATTTTGACAGCTCTAGATTTAATGTTTTCTGTATGAGTCAGTCTGAATGTGAAAACTAACTTTGTGTAACTTTTTGGAACCAGTATAGGCCAAGCTGTGCATTGTGGGGAGTGGAGATCACTGGGCTATTTGTCATCATCAGTTTCTTCCCGCATTCTGCTTTCTTTGCTTTTCCTTTAGCTCATCTGTCACCCTCTGATATTTTTTGGATCCTCTGACTCATACTCCTTAACCTAAAACACAGAGACACCTGATTTTCTTTGTAGAATATGCTAAAGAAACCATATTGCAAGGCTCAGTGAGTTTTTCCTACTGCAGGCTGCTCCATGTTACATGCCTGTGAACATGATATGTTTAAAGGAGGCATTGACAGGTTAACTTATTTGTAAGTTAATAGTCTGTTCATAATCTTGTTTTTTATGAGTGTGAGAGTAGATTTAATTCAATAAAGGGAACTCAAAACTCAGGCCATTCAAGCTCCCCCAACACCACCACCACCACCACCACCAAAGGCTGTGTTTTAAAAAAAAAAAAAACATTCTTTATGGATTATCTTGGTATGATCACAATGTAGAACTTGCATATGGGTAAGGTACTTTTCTTCAGATTTCTAAGCAGCAGTCCTGTGCAGAGAAGAAAGGGAAATTTGATTTTACTCAGGAGCCCATTTCAAAACTTCAGCAAATGGAACCTCACCTACTAGTGCTCAGAGCTAAAAATAAACATCTTTTGGAAAGGCTTTATAAGTCTCATGAGAAAAGATTTGATATGAAACTTCATTTTAAATAACCATTGCAAGCATGCCATGTCTATGGCCTGCAGATGGCAGTGCCTTTGTAAGTGTGCTACTGCTGTGAGAACTGGAATTTAATTGTGCTTTAAAGAGTGAAAACCCTGCTGAGTGCCAGTGGCTCCACCTGTAATCCTAGTTACTCAGGAGGCAGAGATGAAGAGGATCCTGGTTCAAAGCCAGCCTTGGCAAATAGTTCGCGAGCCCCTATCTCGAAAAAACCCATCACAAAAAAGGGCTGATGGAGTGGCTTAAGGTGTAAGCCCTGAGTTCAAGCCCCATTACCCGCCCCCCCAAAAGGCAAATGTTCTTTCTTACCTTGGTTTACATTGTTTTCTCTCTCTCTCTCTCTCTCTCTCTCTCTCTCTCTCTCTGGAGGGGGTACTTGGGCTTTAACTCAGGGCCTGCACTTGGAGCCACTCCACCAGCCCCTTTTGGTGATGGATTTTTTTCAAAAGATAGCATCTTGCAGACTATTTGCCCAGGCTGGCTTCAAACCATGATCCTCCCGATCTCCGCCTCCTGAGTAGCTAGGATTATAGGCGTGAGTTTATAATCCTTCCCACATGAAGAATGTTATTTCTGTTCCTAAACTCATGTTGATCTTAGTTGTAATGGTAACATACGGCTAGCAGTGCAGATAGTAAATACCAATTCATTTGTTCCTGCCAATCATCTTGTGGGATAGCTAGACTGGTATTACTATTATTACTATGTTTTTTGCCTGTAAAGAAGCAATAACTCAAAGAGGTTAGATTTCTTGCCCAAGATCACATATTTAGTAGAACATATTCAAGATAATACTGTTGGAGATAAAAGATTTTGTGGTCAAGCAAAATTGGAAAATAGTGAAGTATAGTAGTGTCCTTCCTTACTCCAGAACTTCTCAGAGACTTTTACATGCTAAACATGCAAGGTGGATATCCAAGGCATCTCATTATGTCTTTCTCCCACTCTCCATCCGTGAACATCTTGAGGTAATAGTGTCCCCTAAACTGACTACTCTTGTCTACTACACTGTTTCCTCTTTATACCTTGTGGTTTATTAATGATTACCATTATCTTTGAGACAAGTGCTTTTAAAGCTCAGTGTCATCATTTTTTGTGCCAAAACATTTGTACTGTGTACATCATACACTTTTGTCTAAACTATTCTGCTTAAACAGGGTTAAACTGTCAAGGCGTTGAAAGGACAGTGCCCAATAGAAGAAAATTACACTCGTGTTAACTCTCACTAATGAGATGTATTAATGAAAGGGTAAGGGAAGGCTAAAGCAGCAACATATTAGGAAAATATGATGTATACTGACAGCTACATATATAATACCAACAAGCCTGCTGCTTTTGAAATGGTTTTATTACAACCACATATGAATATTTATAGGGTGGTCATTTTCGTTCTTTATCCTTTCACTACAATAAGAACTAATAGGTCAGCTGAACCAATTACTTTTTCCCCTCCTACTGGGGTTTGTACTAGGGCCACCTGAGCCATGCCTGCAGCCCATGGACCAATTACTTTTATATTTAAAAAAAAAATCCCCTCATAAGAGTCAGAACTTTGCCGCTGGACTCTTCTCTTTGTTTATTTCATGCACAGAACACTGCGGATCTATAGAGACCAGGCAACTTTAGAGTCAGTTGTGCTTAGTTGCATTGGAGAACTGAGGTCTTATATCTCTGGTAGTCTCTGGTTTGACTCTGGAGTGATTGAATTACTGAATATTAGATTGGTCCTTTAGCTAGTGGGCAAAATATTGAGAATTTTGAATTATAAGTAATTTGACTTAGAGTACACTTAATTATGCAACTAGAGACGGAGATAGTAGTAACAAGTATTTACGGTGAGAGATGATACAAGAGTTGTTTTTAATCTTCCACAATTATTTTTCATATCCAAAAGAAAGAAGTTGTAATAAAAACTTAAAACAATTATAAATGCATTACTGAACCCTCTTGTAGACTTTGGGAAACTAACCTTAGGGACAGCCCTTGCCAAAATCTGATCCCTGGGCTGGGAATGTAAGTGAGTGGTAGAGCACATGCCTGCATGCATAAGGCCCTGGATTCCATCCCCAGCACAAGGAGAAAAAAAGAGAAGAGGGAGGGAGGGGAAGGGAAAAAAGAGAAAGGGAGAAAATCTGGTGCCAAAAAAACTGTATCAGTTACCAAAACAGTGATTCTGAACTGACCAGTCTCTGGAGGTGCAGTTCAGGGAATCCACCTTTCCCACCAAAGGGGAAGTGTACACATGTATTGAAGTTGCAGATAGTGTACTTTTTATTTTTATTTTATTTATTTATTTATTTAGCAGCACTGGGGTTTGAACTTAGGGCCTCATGTTTGCTAAGTAGGCACTGTTTCACTTGAGGCATTCCACCAGCCCAGTTTTGTATTGGGTATTTTCAAGATAGGGTCTCAAGAACTATTTGCCCAGGCTGACTTCATCCGGCAGTCCTCCTGATCTCTGCCTCATAAGTAGCTAGGATTACAGGTTGTGAGCCACCAGTGCCCAGCTGATAGTGTACTTTTTAAAAATAAATTTTCACTGGAAATAATTGAAGCAGATTCTAGAACTAATCTAGTCATATCTCAGGTTGTTAATACAATTCTGGATTATGGTTGGGTTTGTTTTTTGCAAGATCTTAATTTGGACTTCATAGTTTGAAGTTGGTTAGCTCTTGACTTTTTGGCCAGTCTGAACTAGAGATGATAGGAATGTTTAGAATAGTTACAGACTTTTCAGTATTTTGAATGTTTTCACTTTTTTTCAGAACAAAGAAAGTATATGTACCAAGATCCCATGGTCTGCTTAGTAACTTTAGATCTACCCCACTTTGCTTTTAGTAGTGTGGATGTGAAAGTACATGTACGGCCACCTTTCTCTTTTTGCACAAAGTTCCATTAGGTATGAATACAAAATGCCTCCAAGAAGAGGTAGGACTTCTATTCCCCATGAGCGAAACAATTCTTCACCTATGGTTTGTAGAATTCAGAG